TATTATTTAAATTTAAAGGTTTTTATATCGCTGAATATTAATCTAATGTCAAAATTGACACAATGAGTTTAAAATGGCAGAAATACATGTATTATAAATATCAAAATTAAATTCGATAATAATTCTTTTAACAAACTTAATTTTTTAATATAATTTTATAATTGAATTTATTACTAATTTATAACTATTTTATGTGATATTAAAATTGTATTAAATGATTTGATAAATTTTAAATAACAAAATATTTAATAGAATTTTAACAAAAACTTATGGAAGAATTGTTACTTTGATGCGAAAAATTTTATATACTAATATATTCTAAATGTTATATTAATTATAAACGTCTTCTAATTATAATCGATATAACAAGTTTTATTTAACCTTAGCTACTCACGGTGATTTTTTTTATATTGCCATAATTTTTTTATAGTATGATTCGAACAGCTAGATTGAAGTTCAAAAAAATTTTAATTATCTATAGATACGATAAGCTTAGAAGAGCAGTTTTTTACGTTATTATTCTCAACGAAATTTCAAGAGGAGTATCTGATACCTTCGTGTAATTAACTCGTAATAAAGTTTTCTGGGTACTTCTTTATGTTTCATTAAATACACATTTACTAGGTTCCAGATAATATAAAAATAAATGTATGAAATATTGTAGAATTAAAAAAATGATTTTATATACAGTTTTAGGGTTTAAAAAGATATTTATTTACTAGTCTTATCAGTTTGACTTAACCTTAGGTGTCAAGATCAGATCAAGGTCATATTGATTTTTAAAATGGAAACCCCTATTTTTTATTATATATTTTTATAACTTATCTTGAGAACTTCCAAAACAATGTAACAAAATATTTTTTCATTAAATACTTTTTAAGTTATAAGACTTGAAAATTACAATACTGCCAGCATTAGCATTATCTGAGATGTTCGATTGATTATTAAAACCTTTTAAATATTGTTCAGGGATGTCAAGATCATGGCCAATGCAATTAAAATTAACTGTACAATTTGAATTTATTATAATCCTGGTAAATATAAAACGTATAGTGTGTATTTTCACCTTTCTGTTTGTTGCTACGATATTTTTGGGTCTCGCTTTTAGCTGATATTGCTGAAATATTGATATCTACAAGCCTGCAAACAGATATAAAATACATATATATCTTGGGAAGCCAGAACATATAATTTTCAGAGATACTGCAATTTACGCTTTAGTAAATAAATTCATACAATAATATCATAAGTTCAATATAGCTTGTTAAAATAGTACAATGATTCATTTTACATCTTTGTATATTATATATAACTTAATATAGTTTTATTAAAAAATTATATACATGTATTTCGTTTTGATTATTGTTAATATATTTAAAGCTAAATATTCAAAACTACCAATATTATTAACGTTAATGAACAGTTAATTAAATATTTATTTTCTGATAATTAATAAAAAGTTAAAAATGTATCAAATAGAAATATACATATAATTATTATATAATATTATATCATGAGGAGGAAGGTTGTACAAATGAAAAATTTGAAATTGTTGAGGTTGATTGATAGAATAAAATGAGTGAATTTGACGGATTTGGGGATGCAGTACATTTGATACATGATACATGAATTTCAAATGCTGTCATATTGTATATGACTTTGGATCCATATAATCCGCATATCTGCCAGTTCCGCACGATATTATTATAGTTGATTTAAGATCTATTCAATGTATTGCTATATAATATTATAAAGAGAATTGGAGAGCAATGAAGAAAGCTACCTCAAATATTCAACAGTATAATTATGTGTTGGCAAATCGATAACAGTTTTGTATTTTATATTTTTATAACCACTGACTAAATTAAAAGTCGAAACATATGTTTAGATTTAATGTAATTTTATTTTTGTGAAATTATGTTTAATTTCGCATAAGCAACCAGCATTTGGCTCGAATAGCCCTTTGATATTTATTTTATTCGAATTTTTAATTCTATTGAGCCGTTATTGCTATTTATATTTTTAATTGTTATATGTAAAATATTATATTAATATAGAATTAAAAATATTCATCGAAATCCAGAGTTTTTATAATATATAAATTTACGTAAATCTACACGGCCGAATCTGGAGCATAATGGAGCGTGATTTAATTCATTTGGAATTTATGTTTTGCTTTTAAAGATAATTTATTCTAGCAAACCCACACAAAAAAATGAATTCTTAAAGGAATGCATAAATGCTTTAATCGAAAAATATTTTATGCTTAAAATAGAGCCAAGAATAAACAATTTCCAATTAAAAATAAATTAGTCTTAAAATGAAATAAATTATATTCTTAGTTGAAAACAAATTTTATTTCAATAAAAGAATAAAGTTGCACTCGTTCATCATTAAATATGGTATGCTTGTATTAGCATTATTTTTTTCTTCAATGATACCTTTTGTTAACTTATTTCAAGCCCCCAGTAGGCTTTCCAGTAACATCAAAATGACAGAAACCAATGCTGCAGTAAGTGACGACAGCTTTGTAAATGAAGTGCCACATTTATATAGAACATGCCTCCTAATGTGCACAAGTACAAGCTCTCAAGGAAAAACTGAATCAAACTCTACTAATGTGCTTCAAAGGCAAGTGAAATGCTGAGACCGTTCTACCAATACCTCCGTTAGCTATATTACAAATAATGATGCAAACAGACGGTCAACCTCGTCGTAATGGTACAGAACGCTAGTTGCACACACACAGGCGGATCCGCCGCGACAGGTTCATTGCTCATATCACTCATTTGACTGTGGATAGCAGATCCGCGAATCCGCCGCGGAAAATCCGCCCGCGTGTATATAGGCAACCTCTTCGCGCGTCGCAGTGACAAAGTTGGCTGTTCACGCATCCCCATTTGCAATATAACTGACAGAAACATTAGGACGAGCTGAATATTTCATCCATCCTTAAAGATTGAACCACATTTAGAGATATGTTCCACGAATGCAACAGTTCACTCACAAAACCATCGTCAAACGTCATTCACTACACCCGTGCACTTCCGACAACTTGATATTACTAAGGGGCCCTTATACATACTGTTGCCGCCTGCAGGCGAATTTTTAAATTTGTAATTCTAAATCCAAGAATAAATAGTTTCTAAATAATGCGATTGAGTTTGTTAGAACTATGTAATGATTTTAGAAACAAGAACACAATTTTAAGAATAAAATATACTTTGCACAAATCTATTTATTATTGACGCCAGTGAACATTTATAATTGAAGAGAACATTTTATACTTAAATGAAAGTAAATAGCATACAAGAATAAAAATATACGTGAATCAGGAATTCATTTTTTTCTGCTTAAATACGCTTTACCAAAGAAACTGTTACTTGTGTTTCTTGATCGTTATACGGGTGAGCGACATATTCCTCTGGAATCTTGTCTCTGGCCCTTCGGACATGGTCTTGCAGTTGTTCTTCTAGGTGCATCTATAATGCTTGTAGATATTATCTTACATTGGGTGCAAGGTGTCTTAATCTTAGGTTGTGTATATATTGCATCCTTATTATTCTGACCGACTGTCGGTAGCACCAAGGTTAACATCATTGTCATAAGTATCAGGAAAGCACCACCAAAGAACTTCATTTCTAAACGACACAATAATTTTTTGTTTAAAAATGCAAGTTGAAGTGCGAGAAGGATCGAAGTTCTCGCATCACTAATGTTATATCTTTACCGTTTTCTCGATTCGCTTTTCTTGACGTTTCTTTCTCGTAACTTATCGCAAAATTTTCCAACTTTTCTTGCACTTAATACTTCTTTTACTCTGTTTATCTCAGCGAGTATCTTACCACTGTGCTATTGCATGTTTTCTATTTATACTTAGATGTTATTTATACTTCGACGATGCACTTTGCTTTATTACGATAAAAAATTACAATTATGCAGATTAAAGGCGTGCTAATTGTCGCAATCAAAGTCTACTAATATCAATGATGTCAATAAACACTGGTAGCTATTGCGTTCTGTTACTTTCCCGTATAAACGTCTGTGAAATATTAATATATAAGCGGAGCATTCACACAACTCTAACAAACTGATAAATAATATGCATGTTGGGATAATATACAAACTGCTCAGCTTCATACATATATCGTTTCTTATGACTTCCATCCAGACTATAACCCTGTTAGCTACAGACTAACGTGACAAATTAACATCGATCTTGACATAGTTATAAAGATGCTTTAAAAATAATAACTTTCGTTGATCAATAAAAAACAGGTTACTGTACATACCGGTGAACAACTTTATGTTTGAATAGAAAACTGAAAAGACAGATAACGATATAGGAAGCTCGTATTTTCGTATTTTGCCGCACGTTCGACATTAAAATTAGCTGCTAGTGTTTATTTCGTGCTGTCAATACCGCAGTATTTAGACCAATAAATATCTGATAATACAACTGACCTAAAAAATGTATTTCAGACAAAACTGGTATGCATATATAGCCATTAATAACGCTTATATTAATAATGTTCGTTGTAACTTTTTTTCTATACAGGATAAGAATTATAGGCTCGTATTTTTGTCTATTTTGCTGCACGTTTGGCATTAAAATTGACTGCTGGCGTTTATTTCGTGCTGTCAATACCATGGTTGTATTTAGATCAATAAACGTTGGAATCTGATAATATAGCTGACCTAAAGAACGTGTTGGAGACAAAATTGGTATGCACACACAGCCATTAATAATATTTTATTTAATAATATTCGTTGTAGCTTTTGTTCTACACAGGATAGGAATTATTATTAAACGTCTATTAGAGAAAAATCAATTTAAAATTTCGACAATTCATTTGTCATTTAATTTTCAATACATATAGTGATGTGTAGTTTGTATAAACATGCAACTCTGTAAGCTTTTTCTACTTATTACTAGATTTTGTTGATATACATACATGATTTTTATTTTACGTAAAAATGAACATAAAAAAGCATAGATAAAAAATCTTATTATGATAAATCGGGACTCACACACACATATTATAGTTGCAAGTTGCTGCGTAATTAATGGCATTGAAACAACTAATAAATAATATACATTGATAATCGCATTGATGGTGGAGTTTGTTTCTCTGATGCAAAGTGGACAAATAGCTTGGCCAATCTCTCGACATACGTTGTTATGATATTTCACTGTGACGTTTGTAGGATTACACCGCTCGTATCGTTGTATCTGCAAACAAATATAAAAAATAATAGCTCATGAATGAATGGTCCTTGTCTGGCGACATAAAAAAGGAATTATATGCAATGGTTTTAAATTTTTTATATTTTTCTTTTTAGATACACACACACACACACACACATTTTGCTCTATTGATATATTTAAATAACTATGGAATGAGCCGCGATAATACGATCGTTAAAATAAACGTGTGAAATGTATACAGGAAAATGTTCCGGAAAAGGAAATCAAAATACATGTTTTTCAAGGGTAATTGTTGGTTTAGAAACAATATCAAAAATTTGCACGAAAAGCATAAATTTCTATTGATAAACGCACTTTCAAAAAACAGATTAAAAAACAAATGTTAGAGATATTCACACTTAAAAATTTTATAAGCTACTTTATACTTATGTACTTTGTGGACATCTTATAAGTTAATATACCTTAGTAAAAAAATCTTTATATGTGTGTAATTCTGTGAAGGAATATCCTAAAACTAATTCTCTTGACTTATTATAAAACATTCGCAATATTACCGGCAAGAGAATATTCTTGTGCACAGAAACACTTCTCGAAAAATCCGCCGTTCGGAACCGGCAAAATTGCAAAATTGCTGGATCATGCTTAATTTTTTGTTTTGGAAATTTTTCGATATTTTTTTATTTGAATCACGTCGCTGATCGACGGAATACAAAATCAATGTGTCATGAAACACGAATCGGCGCCACTATTATATATACATGCGAGAATCTAGAATTCAACTGTCGTTGATTTTTCGGTAGCAGTCAATTCTTTTTATTTCCGACATGATGACAACGCGACAGTCATCATCGTCACGGAGGAGATTAACAATATGGCTTAAATTTTCATTTTTGTGATATTCACACAAAACGTTTGACCTCGATTCCTCTAAACGACGCTTATAACGTACGAAATATCTTCGTAAAAGGGCGTTTTCCTGCTAATCTCCTGTTATTTACAACGACGTCGTCGTTAACCCGGGAATAGTCATTTAATTTCTTTTTTTACATAAACGATCACTTAGGGTACGTGTTTTTATACTTTAATTAAAACTAATATTATTAACAACATATTGTACATTATTGATTGTCTTCTTATTTATTAATATGTGCGAACATTATAAATTTAATCACAATTTTCTGAAAAAAGTAGGTACAAATTAAATATTAAACGGAATATATACATACACGTTAAGCATAGCTTATTATGACTGTATTTCTAAAAAAAAGTAAAGATTTTAATTGATATAACGCCTTTATAGTAAGTTTTCGATGGAATTACATATTTAAAGATTTGTAAAGAACAAAATAAATGAAATATATAAACAGAGTAATATTTAAACACAAATAAAAATGCACATGAGCGCGAGCGTGGCATGATAGACAGCGCACTGGTCTATCATGTTAGAGATCAGAGGTCCCGGGTTCGAATCCTAGGAAACAAAATATTTACGCTCGTGTCTCCTCTCGGAAAGGGCCGGCAAGAGAATATTCTTGCCCACAGAAACACTTCTCGAAAAATCCGCCGTTCGGAACCGGCATTAAAACTATAGGTCCAATATGCTCGTGGGAATTGAATAATCAGCGTGCACATCATAAGCATATGAGAGAGGTGTATCACAGGCCAGAGGCCTAACGTAAAAAGAAGAAGAAGAAATAAGATTTTTAGTCAAAGCGGATCTTGGTGCTTACAAAGAAACACAATCAACTGATCCCCCCTATCCAATTTTAATAAGCTTTGGATATGTTAAAATATAGACAAAAGTAAGAAATACATTTTTCTATGTGCTATGTTAGGGGGTAAAAATCTCTCTTGAAAAGATCGGTTTTTTTCTATAAAATAAATATCATCGAAATTATGAGAGATAGAAAAAAATGTTTAAATAAAAGCTAAATGATTTCAAGAATACTTCATAATCAAAATTAAAAAAGATAAAAAAATTTTTTATTAAAAAAATTTTTATTTAAATAACTTTTTTATAATGATTATTATAAAGTACTCTTGAAACCATTTAACTTTTATTTAAAACGTTTTTTCTATCTCTCATAGTTGCGACGATATAGTATATTCACTCTGAAATAAAAAACCAATTTTTTTCAAGGGAGATTTTCATCCCCTCAACATGTATAAAAAAAACGTATCTCTTATTTTCGTTTATATTTTAACATATTCAAAGCTTATTAAAATGGGAGGGAATCAGTTGGTCGTGTTTCCTTGTTAGTAATATTCATATATGACTGTACAAATACAATTTTTAGTTGTATAGATTGCCGATTCAAAACACAATCATCACAACACAAAACAAACTGAAATAATCATCTTACAATTAAATAAATCACAACTGTATAATCTCATAATTAAAAAAACAATTAGTCTATAGAACTGAAAATTCCATTTGTATATTCACATATGAATATTACTAACAATAAGCACCAAGACCTGCTTTGACTAAAAATAGCACTCTTCTCTTTTATTCGTAAAAAATGGTAATTAAAAAAGAAAGAAAATATGTTAACCAATATTCATACAATATTTTACATTTTTTTAAATAAAAACAACCTAATTGATTATTTCTGAGTTAATAACATTAAGAAATTTCCCCGAATATTCCAATTGTCTTCTGCAATTTCTTTTATTTTTTTTCCTTATATATTTCTTCCTAATTAATCTCTATGAGAGATTAATCCTAATTAATCTCTATGAGAGATTAATCCTGATAGAAATCCTCGGCAGAATTACCGCACTTTACCTTATTTACACTTTATCTTACCTAGTTCCTCTTGAAACTATTTCTTAAGATTTTGCAAAAACAATCGACATTTTCCGTTTATGTCACGTTGCTGGCCACGTGGACACGGAAATTCCGGCACTGTTATGATATTCAATGGAGATATTGTTACATTCGTCATCGGTGTTTCCGTAGTTGATCCGAGTTGAGTTTTCTTTGGTGGCGGTAACGACGCGGTAGTCATCACCATCATAGCAATCATTAATAACGTGATACAAAATTTCATTTTCGATTTTCGCCACAGAATGCAAACCGTTTCAAAAATTTAATTTCAATAATGTCCAAATAATGCATACGACTTGTGAAACATCCTCGAAAAAGCAGAAGCTTATAAAGACGCTGTTGTTAACGCTGCGCAGTGACTGATTATACCGAGTTTTATACCGAGGATTTCACAAATCAACAAAATCATGGTTTATGATAAAATACATTATAGAAATTACATCATATTTACACGATGTCTTGTCAAAGGTGAAGCGTATCTTTGATAAGAGATTATCACAACATGCGTAATCTTGCACATGTCACAGAAATGATAACTAAATTCTAATTTTAATTCGCACATGTATATTTAAATAAAAGTATTTAAAAAATATAACTAATAAATATTTTTAATTATTAATTAATAACTATTTATATAAAATTATACAAAGATTATACAAATTAAATTCTAATAATAATTTGCATTTTAATATTTTACTTATGTTTATTATACTAACTCCAATTGATTTATCCTGCGTGGTACAATTAGTTATATATTTTAAATTATTTTGTCAACACATATAATTAAAAAGATAATACGCGATAATATTTAATTGGCTAAAAAGCTGCGACTATATTTATTAATTAACAATTATAACTATTATATTAAAAATTATCTTGTTCATTTATTGGCTTACTACCTTCAATTTTTCTGAAATATATTATTTAATACGACACTTCTTGGGAAATAGCCAATAATTATAATCAAAGTTGTTTAACTTAAGGTTATCGAAACAGTCAAATATCGTTTTGCATTTCAAATAGCATATGAAATTCTATAAATATGCATATGCGAGTGGCATGCAGAAAGTATATATTCAACGAGATTGCGCGAATATCGAAATTATCGAACAATAGAGAGAAAGAGAAAGAGACAGAAGGAAAGAGGAGAGGGAGAGAAAGAGAGAGAGAAGAAAAAGAAAAATAGAGAGAAAGAAAAAGAATATTACAACAATTAAAAACTTTCAGTAAATTGCTTGAAAAGTTAGAAATATATAACAAGTGATAAAAGGTTTTATTTACTTATTATTGTTCAAATATTTTCAAAGCAAAAAAAATTTATCCATATTTTATGAACTCAATTTACAGATGGTTAACTTTTTATAGAAAAAACAAAACTGTTGTGCAAGAAACGATTGATTTTTATGACGATAGAATTTGGCTTTTCAGTCCAACAAATATTTGACTTTTACCGCGAATAAAGTTTCGCTTTTAGTAACGAACAGAGTATAGCTTAAAACAAGCCCAATATATCTCTAGTTTCTAAATTGGAAAAAAATTTTACCGGCCAGAGAGCCGATTTGATTTTTTCAAATAAAAAACATTTAGCTTTTAGTATAAAATCTAATTTTTTAAACGCGAATACAATCTCAAATGGAAGAAATTTGTTTAGTTTTTCTATACAGAAAAATTTAACTTTCTTTTCTTTTTAAAGTAAATCGCGTTTTTATCGTAAGAGTGGCTTTTAAGAGGTTTTTTTAAATTTGACATTTTTACTGTTTTTAAATTCAATGAAAAATTACTTGTAGATTTAAAAAAAAGTTAGATTTGCAATTGAACAATATTGAACTTTTATAACAAGGTAGCTTTTAGGTTAAAAAATGTAACGTTTAATCCCAGAGTATAACAGAAATGAATTAAACTACCAACTTTAATGCTCATAAATCCGATAAAAAAATTGTGTGTTTCCTAAATTATTGATCCCTTTTCATAAAAGTATTTCTTTTATAAATTAACAATCAAATCATGCATCATTAGTTTTCTTTGCAAAAATAAAATCATGTTACTATAATTCTAATTGAGATTTTGTTTATTTAACGAAAATATTGATTATCCATTTCTATTGGTGCTTAAATCTATTTCTATTGGTTTATTAATTTGGACACTACAATAAGCACAAAATTAGTAGTATACAAAAATTTTTAAATGGACTACGAAAATATATTTAATAAACACATTTAATAATATTTTAGTGGTTATTGTAAATATTAATTAATAATTTTGATTTTTAAATGGCCATTTTAAACTTGAAATATAAATTGTTTGAAATCAATAAATTAAAATTATGAGTTAAATTTATTAAATTATAAATTGAATTTTAAATATGATATTTTAAAATATACCAAATAATACTATAAGAATTTAAATAATGTTTATCTATTGACAGCCACTTTACTGATACGTTAACAGAAATTTATTACACTAATTTTAAAGACTGTGTGAATCTTATAGACATAGACCGTCAATCAAAGGTTTAAAGAGCGCTAGTGCAAGAAAAACAAAAGAACAAACCGTGTGAAATGTTAATCAATGCAATATAGGTCTCAATCGCCCCTTCGTATCGTGACGATGTCTCGTCCCTTCTATCTCGATCTCGACGTTTCGTTCCGGCACGGTGATGATGTTCCTTCTGACTCGATTTTTAATTTCGCTTCCGTCTTCCATGACAACCGGCGTCTCTACCAAAATGGCGTCGACCTCTTGCGTCTTATCGGGCGCGATTTCTTCCACTTTTTCACTGTCAGGAGCCGGCGTTCTTTCAGCCATTGTAGCGATTCTTCGATTGTCAGGATCCTAAACGATTTTCGATAATCCTATTTTTCCCTCTAATCTGCCGTCAAATCTTTGAAGGATCCCTGTCTTTGACTCTTCTAGAATCCGGCCGTTGCTTCTGAATATTAAATAATAATTTTGAATTTTAAATAACAATTTTAAATATGAGAAAGAGAGAGGGAGAGAGAAGAGAAGAGAAAGATAGAGATGAGAGAAAGATCAGAAATATTTGTTATTTTAAATATTTTGAAATGTATTATAAAATGTATTATAAAAACTTAGAAACTTGAATAACGTTTAAATTTAAATAAAGTTTTTTAATTAATTATTTTGAGATTTTAAATCATATATTCTTTAATTTCGAATCAAATTTTAGTCCTTGTGTCAACACCTGGATATTCAAGTATCCATTTCGATTTTTTTCTGAAAAGGTGTTTTCCATTCAAATACCGCCAAACAGCCAATCGAATTCTCATTATTTGGATAATGTCATATAAATTTATCAACTTACTTTAAAATATTTCAGAAGAGATTTTAAGTTCGTGAACATTAAACTTGACTATACATTTGTCCAATGTTCGGGTTACTACATGCATTTTCTACGTAGAAAGATGGAAAAGAGAGATTTATAGTTCGGTATATTTAGGTATTCAAAGAAACAACTTACTTGTACAACTTACTTGTACTAGAAACAAGGAAAATGCTGTATTTTAAAAAAGTTTCAAAAGTTTACAAAAAATACTCATAAATCACTGGAGAACGATATTTCATCTTCTATATAGTAGATTCCTAACATACTTTTCTTTTTGTTCTGCGCTCAAATTAAAGATAAGATCAATAAAAATATACACACGCGATTTTTCTATCAAGCAATCAACTATTCTATTTCTATCAAGTAAATCAACAATTTTTCGTACATAGTTAGTATTAATCTAATTATATTTAATCTAATTATTTTTAACTCGCGTACTACATTGACTCTTTAATTTTTCTATCGAGATAATATTTGATCTCATACGTCGCAAGAAGTCTTCAAACTTCTTTTATAATAAAAATACAATAGGTGTAATACTAACACAAATATGGTGAATATAACTGAACAGACTGCTCAAATGAAAAGACGCTTCAGGATTGATTCGCAAAGCCCTAAACCAGTTTATATCTGTTGAGAAAGGAGTGAGGGAACGTCGACTCCTAAACAGGCTGTTGCTCGGATATCTGGAGATAGTTTCAAACGATATGAACCGTTTTCTACCTTGTTATGTTATCGAAACTGATGGACAAGACAGACACAATAATTCTTTCATCTCTGCGGAAACTTAGGAAAGAATTAACTCCTTTTAATCTTGATAAAATCTATTTCATATATTTCTTGTATCAGTTTTTTACACAATTGATCAATAGACGTTTACGTAGCACTCGTGTACTACTAACAGACTAACTGACCAACTGACTGACCGCTTCTCGTATCTTCCGTTTTGTTTTTTTATACCCATTAGGTAGTTCTTAGGGAGAATTACCTTTGTAGCCGTTTTATCAGCATTCTCCAGGAATTGTATCGATCGGATTTCTTGGAAGCGTCGACTGTGCCGTCAAGTTAAGATTATATCTTACTGTAATCGCTAAATGACCTAATCATTATAAATCTTATTTCGTCATTTCCGTCAACGTCTTTCTGAAGATGTTACATAATATTATTGAGATAACTCTTATTCATTTGTATTATTTAACACATACAACAACCTGTAGCATGTGAAATTCCATGATGGGTACTCGGTAACATAGATGTTGACATAACGTAAAACTTCCAAATTAATTGATTAAATTAAATCGGAAGTTTTAACTGATTAAATGAATTAAATATTCCGAATTAAAGATTAAATAAATAATTTATACAATTTTTGCAAAATGTAAGTAGAATTTTAAAAAATCTTCAGTTATATTTAGAATAACTTTGTTCGACTTTTCAAACTATTTTGGTATTTCTCTACAGCTTTAAGAGGAGAAAATGGCATACTTTGAACCAAACTGCGAACAATATCCCAGAGAATGAATGCTATTAAACCATCATTCACACTTTTATAGCAACGATTCATTCTTTTATCGTTTATTAGAATGACTTCGAAATGTTTCCTACATTATCGATTCGATTATCCCCTGTTGCTGCATCATAAAACTCAATATTTATCGTATTACATTATAATATTTTAAATGTTTTTCCATTTTTAAACATATTGTGTTGCATATAAAAACCATGTGAAATATTTAATCAATAAAGTTACATTCTTTTTGCGAGAGACGCATTCGTGGAGATTAATTGGATGTTTTATTTGAACTCTTTTTCAACGCTATCGTTATTCTATTTCTCGAGGAAATAGTATCTCACATTTTTAACGAATACATAATATATGTGTAAAAGCGTATGCAAATATGTAAAAGCAATATACAATTGCATGTTTTTACATTTTCTATGTTTTACGATGAAAAAAGCTTAAATGAAAAAATTAATTCTTTTACTTACCAAAAATCGATTGCTCTTCAAAGGTCTTTGTCGATATCCACGATATTACAACAAATGTATTTATCTGGATACGTGTTATCTTTCGCTACAATTTACCACCGTTTCTGACGGCACAATTTATCGCGCTGTCCCTTCGGTTTACTCAAACGACAGTTTCGCGACGATTGAAATCGTTTCTTCCTGCCTGCTCAATATTCGGTCTTATCGGTTGCTATCAATTGGCAAACGTTAAGCCTTATCGCAAATAGCCTTTGCGCTTTTTATTACGCTCGAAAACCGATTTCCCGGATTCCGGGATTAGAGGAGTTCTGAAAGACTCTTCAGATTCAACGAAGCGCTCTCGGCGACTATTGCGGGACGAAAGGCAAACGCTTTCAACGCTGTCATCATCGCGCAAAAGTAAATTCGAGTTACAAACGTGGTCAGGAAGAATGGAATGCAGTTGCAATGGATTACAGTTAGACGCTGGAAATTGCAGTTGCCGCGGGGGAAAAGCGTAGCAGGCAAATACAGAAGGGCATGCGATCGATTGCTAGAGATTCCCCTTTAATCTTCTAGTAGCAAGCGGCGAAATCTCACGAAGTTCCTTCTACGAAGGAAGTACGAAGCCTCTCCTCGGTTCTGTGAGAAAAATGGTTTGGTTACCGAGCGATTAAATCGAACGGTTAAATGTAACGAACGCTGTTACGTGCCCCGTATCTTAAATTTTTTATAAACTAGTTTCTCAACAGACTATATTTATGCCCGGTTTTACCAATATAAGATTAACTTTAATCTCAGTTCTATTTACTCTTTATCTTTTCTAATTTACTCTTATCTTTTCTAATTTGAAGAATTAGAAGAAGATAAACAGTAAATTGAATCGAGCTTAAAGTCTTTATAATAATAGTCTTTATAATAATCTTATGTTGATGGAACCGGGCTTAAAACTAATATCCTAATAAACCTTGATCCTGCATCTGTTTAGTCTCTCTCCCCCCCCCTCTCTCTCTTAGCCTAATTTATTATCCTCTTTTTATTTAAGGTTCTTTTCAAATTTCTGCTTCACAATCAGTTATTATTCGAGTAACCGATATGCAAAGTAGCTACATAAAAAAATTCTTTTCGTGAAATATTGCCCTGGATTACTGTGGTTACGAGTTGAACATTTTAAAAATGGGCAAAACAATTACGAATCTATAAAATCAAGGAAAAAAAGTGGGTCTAGTTGCAAAAGAAATTAAATCCCTAAATCCCTATTGTTGTAAATATCGTTATATCTGTTAATCATGTTTAGTAAAAATAGTGGACACTTTGGTCCAAAATTAGTTAAAATACTTCTTCAGCTGCAAAACAGTAAAGTACATTCTATTTTAACAAATAAAAATTGTATCTCTTTCCACATTATACACGTTTTGTGTTGTTTGTTAATTAAAACAATAAATTTTTCTTAATTTTTTAAAAACGGATCTTATTGATAGCTTAAATAAGAAAAATTACAAGTTTATTCGCTCTTGTCAAAAAAATTTTTAAATGAAAGTAACGACTTTTGCCAATGGGTTATTCATTCCTGTTCAAATAGATCATTGTGCACCAATCCTCATTCTCTTTCTTTCGTTCTAAGGAATAATCAGGTTTCGATTTCAGAGCATATTGCGTAATTGATCATTAATATTATTTAACAAAATTCCGCTTTTTTCAATTAACAATAATTTTTCTCGATCGTGAACAGTTCTCGTTAGCTTCTCGTAGTAAGCAAATCTCCAATTTAACTAATTGTCTTCATTGATCATTAAACCTGATCAAGTAGATAGTTTTCAGTATTCTGTAAAATATTACGATGCGTTTCGCACATAACAGCGTGATTGTATTAACCTCTTCAATGGTGATTTAATGATCTAATGATCTTTCTCACCAAGTTTATGAACTACTTGTTACTCCGTTAGCGAATAGACGAAGATCTTCCAAGATAAAACGTAAGCACGAAGCTCAGCACGCAACTATTCCGAGATATATCAGCGTTGACAACAGACTTTACCACAAAACTTTTCCGGGTATACTACTTAAAGGGTTAAACCAGATCTGAGATCTAGTTGCACATTACAGGCGGATTTCGTTGCCTACTGACCCCCTCTTGCCGCTCGTATCTTAGCAACGAGTCGCCGAACGAGTGTAAACAAGCCATGCAAAGCTTTATTTCACAAGTATTCGTACTAAAAGTACAATGGAATTATCCCCCTTAGTAACATCAATTAACTAATAGAACTGTTCACATATTATTATATATTGCAAAAATAAATTAATTATTATATTATTTTATTATAAATGTGTAATTTACAAAAGAGTTTTAAATAAAATGTTATATTATTACAGAATTATAAGAATAACAATTAAATACAGTTTTATTATTTAATAATAATATTAATATCAAAAAATTTTTAATTATTAATCTAAAATCGTTTAAAAGAGTTAAGTTGCGATTACTTCATATTGTTCAGGAGGATACAATTCATTGTTATAAATGCTAAGAAAAGCGTCACGCACTCTAATTTTTGACTCCTGAAATCTGTTCTTTGTCGCTACACTAGTCGCTACACTAGTGCATTAAAATTGTCTATCTCGCTTTTGTTAAACTTCAAGTATATATTTATTTTTACGCGGCGAGTGTACACTAGTTCAGCTACAAAGAACTACGCAGTAAAATAAAGTTCTTAGGAATTGGCTTATATGCTATTGCAGTTGTGAATTCTTTAGTTGATATATAATTATTAATTTGGATTAATTATAGGTAATTTTTGGTAAAAGTTCCGATTAGGGGACCCCCCCCCCCAA